ATTGGTCTTTTGACCCTATCTGCAGTCATAATCGCCGGTTCACTCTTGGTTGGCCCTTTCCTAATCCTATTCTTCCGAAAGCGTCATCGATCGGCCACATCTGAGCAACTATTTGATACGATCAGTGTAACTGAGTCGCTCGCCTGATTCCATACTTATGGCAGCTCCGATTTTTGGATGGAATTTTTAAAGCCAATTCGCTTTCATGAGAGGTCGCATATGTTTACTCTCTCTGATTTCATCACACGATATTTTAACGCATCTTCCACTCTTCTCCGTCTTTCTGTATTTTCAAGATAACGAACCATCAAACAATTATTTCATAGCATGAAGCTAATCAATTGTTTTGTACATTCCTGTTCATCTTTTTTAAGCGCAAATACGTTTTCCAGCCATACATTTTAATCGGTCTTGTTACTTTTTTCACATCCTTTGTAATCCGTACTCGCGTTCTGTTGTAGCACCAAAAGATACTATGTGTAATATGACTACAGTTTGAGAGCGTAGCGACTGAGCATGTGTTATTTTCGCCTTCCGCAATCATTAGCAGGATTGGAGTATTACCTCCGCCAGGCTACGAACTGTTCTATTTCGATTCATGTGTTACGGAGCGTTTGACATTACAATTAATCCGAACTTACAGCTTGGAGCATGAAGTGGGATGTTAGAAAACAGGCGTGCAATCGCTCAGAATAAACCGACAAATCCAACTCAGAAAAATCATGGTACTCCCAGCTTCCAATACTCGATTGGCCACTGACCTCGCTAAGTCATCCGCACACTACGCATATATTGATCTGGTGGTTCACTCTAGAATTGCGCGCATCGTACACTTCGTCCTTGAGTTAGCGCGTTGCGACGAAACAGCCTTGGTGTGATGCGTTCGCTTGTGTACCTCTTCGTTCCACGGCATATACAAGGTGGCGCCATTGCGTCCCTTGAGAGCTACTCCCACCAGATTAATCAGTGATTAAGGGCCGGACAAACTTAGTCTCTTGGCACTCCAGGTCGGAAATCGTGAAGTTAGTTTCTGAAAATCCAAGTGGTTACCACATTCCCTTTGTCCTGTGGCAGGCATTTGAGTCATATGTTTTGACTAATGACACTAATCGTTTTGTCTGTATTTGAGCGCAGTGGCAGTATTCCAACCCATGTATAACCATGATTGCCTCATCAAACTTGCGCCGCATCCCATTTGAGCCGTTGCGCAGCTCGAAGTCACCTTATCAGCTGAATGCTGCCAGGCTGATAAACTTGTCTACCTTCTACCTATTTCTCCCATTCCACTTGCTACATCTTAACGTTCTTTTCATAATTTCCTAAATTGACAGTAATTGCGATACCACTGGAGCTCTGCCATCTGCAACAATTGTCCTTCACTGCACTTCTATCATCAACAGCTCCTTGACAGGCTACGCTGCTCCTTTTCTCTGGCGGCAAACCCATGGGTAATGGTAAGTTTTTGCTGTAAATGTGCCGAGCACCGGCTGTTACGTAGCAACACAGCAGGCGCCGATGTGCCACCGTAGTTGCTACGTGGCTACGATGGACCTAGGTAGATCACATCACGTTTTAGGTTGCGTGATTTTGACCTTGATTGTCGTTTGCACTGGAATGATTATACATTGGTACACAGTCGAATTTCCATGAACTCTATCGGGAAGCCGATTGAACACCCGTCTTGACTGGCAACTGAGACCTAATCACAGCCCTTGGTGAGGTCTACTTGCTTTGCGTATCTAACTTCAGTCCCCTTATCGAGCTGCAGTGAAGTAGGGTATCGATCATGGTCCGCGATGCGGCACTACTTGTCGCAGAATTCGGTCCTTCAGTGACAAACGGTTTATTCGTCAAAGCATTCCCAACACAAACAACATAGCTGGTCTGCAGAATCTTTGATGTAACTAACCAGGTCGCTTCCAAAACGGACGACACTTCTGTATTCATGGGATTATTCCATTGCCTCATCACACTAGCGCAGCCAAGGATCAACCACTCCGTGCACATGCGAAAGCACCCAACCATCTGTCTCATTCGCTCGCGACAATCTATCTGCTTGCTTCGTCATGTAAATAAGTCTCACTTTTCTGACTGCATAATCCCGTCAAGTCCTCTCTTTTTCGTGGCAACTGAGGTCTCAATACGCCATTCCTATCCGCATTGTCGATGCTGCCCCTGTCGTCGCGATCTCATCGTAAGCCGCCCGGTGCCCTGTTTCACTTCCACCTCTCTCCCAGTATCGCCTCCGATGTATTCGGTCCTTTCAGTGTTGGCTTCATAATATCTCCGATTATCGCGGTCACTACACCTTTTCCATCGCCCTTGGACGCCTGACATTAGTTGAATCCGCGGTCGTAATACCGTTTTCAATGTGCCATCCATTTTCTTAAACTCCTTTGTAGTTACTCGTGTAAAAGTAAGACCGACAGAGGCATTGGGGTTCTTGCCCTGCTGTACATACGTTGCACTGGACTGACTGTTCATATCAAATCGCACTTTGGACAATGGTTTATTACGGGTAAAAAAGCATCGCTTAACAAGTCCCGTGGGATGGAAATTATTGCGAAAATCAATTGCATACTAAAGTGAAAAGCGTTGTGGTGGACTCACCATAGACTTATGTGGAATAGCGGAGATGTTCGCATATCAAACGTATAATCCATAAATCCATTGGTTAGGCGTTTGGCAAGAAACCGTTTGGTTGCGTTTTGTAGCCCCTGGCTAACAAGTCATAAAATGAAATGTAAGTGAGGCAATGCATCGTCAACACGTTTTTTAAACATCGCCAGATTGGGAGCAGAGACGACATAATTAGGGAGGGCGTTCCAAGGCTGGCACACGCGGAGAGAAAATAAATTTCTACGGCATTCAAGCCGGCTATAATGAATTGTCAGTTTCAGAGGGTGACCTCTTAGTTTAGTGTTGTGGTTCAATTCCAGCAGCGGACGGCAAATGTGGTTTGGGTTCTTCAGAATCTGGTAAACCATTATGAGATCCCCCCGCAAAAGCCGATATCGACTACTGTATATTCTTAGAGATTTCAGTCTAAGCTGATAGGGCAGATGAAAGAGGCCCCTGACATTCTTGGTTGCCCGTCGTTGAGGAGTCTCGAGAGCAAGGAGATCCTGTTTCTGCCACGGCTGCCACGCCTGAATAGCATATCCCACGTGAGGTCGCACGTAGGCGTTAAGCATTTGGGGAAAGATTGAGGGTTCAAACCGACCGAAGGCTCTGCGAAGAAGGCCGAAGTGTTGATTTCCGGTTCTCCTCGCCTTCTCTGCTTGTTTTGAACACCCGTAGAGGATGCTGTGACGTGCCCATCCAGGCAATTTGGGTGCTCAATACAGGATTAACAGAGCACGAAAACTGATGTTCCGGCCCAGGATGACGAGTCAAATACAAGCTCAGGTGTTAAACTGTCCAACCTGACTGTCGCATGAAGCTCGCCAAGCTAGGTGCGTGAGGTTCCAGGTCGACCACAGCAGAAACTAGTGGTGGAAATCAAGAAGGACTATGGGGATGTTCGTTGCAGCTAGACTCAAGCAGACAACCACGGCAGATCCAGGAAAGCACTAGACGGTCGTTTCGTCCTATTGGGTCCCATCAGTAGCACGCACCCACCGGATTCGAACCCATGACCTTACTCGTACGGGCCAACGACTTATGCCACTTAGCGCGGCCTGCCATTACTGATATTTAACTGCGATACAGCGCGACTCATCCTCCAGTGTCATACACCCAGAAGAGCGCTTTACTGCATTTTTAGTGGCTGTCTGCCTGAGTCTAGCTCCGACGAATATTTTCAAGAACTCAATAAATCCCACTACTACTAACTAACAAGCAGTAATCACCTTAGCAGCTTACATGCCACCTGAATAGCGGCAGCTTTCAAAGGAAGTTGTAGCTGTGGGAGCCAGCCCTGTCCTCTGCACATTCACAATACCTAGGTCAGTGGAGGATGAGCCGCACTATATCGCAGTTAGATATCATGGCCGTGACCTAGGTCGCTGGCTCGTGTCATGAGTTCGAATCCGGCAGTATTCTGCGGTTGCGCGCTACTCATTGGTCTTAATAGGCCGTCTAGTGCCTTTATGGATATGTGGTGGCTATCAGCCTGAGTTTGGCTGCGACGAATCTTCTCAAAAGGTCAAACTAATCACCACGAACTACTACTGCGACTACTTCGAGGTCGATCCAGTACCACTACGGAAGTAGCCATCAATAAGCTTAGGTATCCGTTCGCTCGAGAAGGACTACTGGAAGAACTGGTCTCCGACTATGTTACACATAGTATAAGTGTTGCCTTCCAGACCTTTGTAAACGAGTGCGAAATTTCGCTACGAAAAAACAGCCTGCATCACAGCCGGTCAAACTGAAAAGCAGAGGTGGCATTAAGACAAACCAAAAAAAAATCACTTCCGTTTTCGCGTTTAAGCTTTATGTTCTTTTGCACGTAATGCTGCACACGTTGTGATCGGGCCGCAGATCAGCACATTGTCTGCTACACCTTGCACCGTCCAGATCATCAACAGCTTGCAACAACGGCTCGGAATTTTCAAACCATTCAGTAAAGGTTGCCGTCGAAAGCACCCGAATGATGTGACGAGTTGTTAGTAAACTAGGTCGTACCAGAACGCCGTTGATAGATCAGTCATGGTTAAGTAATTTGCTCTGGACAAACATGGCAGGACATCTAACGTTCACAGCGTATAGCGTTCTCTTCGTAATACTTCATTCAATGGCTTCGGGTCCATGCACAAACGTAAAACACTACTCTTTTTCATAACCATTGCGATTTGACTACCAGTCTGTTGACTAGTTGACCTGAGCGATTACATTCTACTGTATCAACTTACTTAGGCAAACAGAACCCTTATAATCGGCAGCGCAGTCAGTCGCTTTGACGGATCAAATGATATATAAGCGGAACCTTCGAACCCTCCGAATCCCATAGACGGATAATTTCCGCTAAAATCTGTCACTGCTTGACGCCCACGATGATGTACGTAGGTGAGTAATATAAGATTTCCCAGTTCGAGCGTTCGAAAATCAGATTTACGTCATTCAACCTGGTTGGTCCGTCCATTAATCAAATTGACTAAGGCGACATTTACCGGCATGCAGACGTTTAATTAGCTAGGCTCCACAAGCCAATAGGATACCGGATGTACTAACAAAGCAAAGTATTCGCATGTAGGGGTCGCAGGAGTGTAATTGATTCACTTCCGGCTGTCAGAATGCCAGCAATCGGTAGCCCTTTTCATCAACAGGCTGTTATTACGGTGCCCAAATTACTTTACCCCACATTGATCCACCTTAGCCCGCCGTTGGTGACCTCAGACATCAACACCCATCCCAGTCATGTAATCGATCACCTCATGTGACTAGTTGCAAACAATCGAACCACTGTGTCCCATACATCCGGTATCATTATTGGGTGCCGGCGATTGGCTAATAAAACGGTAGCACCCCGGTGCGTTAGGTAAACATCGCCCGAAACAATTTGATCGATGGACGGACCAAGCTGGTCGGATAATATTGGAATTTGATTTCCATACAGCTCAACTTGTAACCTGTATGGACCAACTTGACTGGAAGGTGCTATAAATCGTGGTAATGAGGCGAGTCCATTAGTAACAAATAATATTGAACATGTTGCGTTGCTTTGGGCACGTCTTTAGTATACCTGGTCACAGACTAGTCAGGAGGTCATTGTTTCGTATGCTGGGTGTATGGTGGCGCAGTGCTCGAAGCGGGTTGGAACTGAAATCACTGACAATGGGACCGAGTGTAAATGGCCCGACTCAACTTCCAGGCTGGTGCCCACGCGACCTACACTTGTGTCTTGCTCGAGGCTTTACAAGACATGGATAACAACAGGCACCAATGGCGCATTTGCCATTACCTCCCAGTCGGAATGCTTAGCTGATTTGTTTGGTGTAGAGGTACCTGTAATGACCGACAATGACACGACGTAAAGACAAAAAGGATCCGTCTCGCGGAAGCCACTTTCGCACGACAGCCAGCTGTTTCTGATTGTATGTTGTTTACACAATGCAAACATTTTAACCTTGAATATTCGCTTATGACGCTAGACTTTTCGCTACACCCGCCTTCACTTCACTTCGTAGATAATTATGGTGGTGCGGCAGCGAAACATCGGTTCAAATAGTCGATGTGTTGCTGGTGCATCGAAGAATTCGATAGGAGCACAATAAGCACGCTCCATTGGGCTGTCGTGTGCAATCGCGGTTCATAAAGTGTCGCAGTGCTGTGCGCGGTCACGCCGGAACGCAATGCATTCTCGAAAGCTGTTATTCTACAAAACGGACGTCCATGGATTACTCGAATTCCGACAGCGATGTTGCCTCGACTGTTGTCTCGAGCAAACTGTATTTCACCGCTCGGAGCTCGAGGCACAGAGAGTGTGCTATCCGTTTCAGTTCCTACACCATGAGCTTTTACTGGTGCCTGCAATTGCTGCCTGGTACGCGCATCTGTAAAAGCGGCCTCAGCATAGCAAAGCAACCCGGATGTAATAATCGGTGCTGCATTATCAGGTCAAGTCTAAACGGACGATACGACAGCTCGTACAGCCCCAGTCTCCTGCATCGATCTTCGTACGACATATTTCCTTACTTGGAGATGAGTGTGTAACTACAGCTGTTTTTGCACCTCGCCACGGGTTATTGGGCAATAGGCGGGTGAGTCGCACTCGAACATTGATCATATGATAGCAGAGGAGACGAGTGGCAATCTTTTCAGATCAACTGCAAAAGCTGCATTTGAGCGCCCAAGGCATGCTTAGTCCGTTTCCACGTAGCTTCTTCGTGTTGTCCACGGAATTCAAATTGCACAGTGTGAGTACACTTAGATCCTACACAGGAGGTGTTGAATGTAGCAGTTAGCTGGCTAGATCATGTGTATGCGCATCACCACCATTCCCCAGCCTAATAAGTGACGACTAGACTGCGTTGACTGGCAGATCGACATCTACAGACTACATGGACAGGTGATCGAGGTCATGTTGATGTGCGCCGTAGTCATCGAGAGCATCAGTTACTCTGCAAATCCTTATGTCGTCTACAAATATAGCACAAGACGACCGAAGAAGCTAATATTTCGTTTATGTGAATCAGGAACAAAAAGGGATCTAGTACTATGCCTTGGGTACCCACTAGTGGAGGGATACCGGTCAATTAGACGATCATCCACCTGTACCATCCACTTCTGTACTATAAGAAATTCGCTAATCCACTGGTGCAGTGAGCAACTAATACTGTACACCTTCAGTTGTGTAGAAGGACTTCGTGGTTTACCTTGTCGAACATTTCATTGAAATCATTGTGGATTACCTCGACCGACTCCTCTTCGTTTAGCACCTGCGACCATTCGTGCCGCGTCACCAACAAGTTGATGATGTGTGAATTTCATTTCATGTAACCGTGCTGTTCCGGTTTCGAGTTCTCTCGATTCTAGTAGCTGCAACAGATGTTTACTTACGTTCTTTTCGAGCGCCATATCTAGAACGGAGGCCAGATGAATTGCGTGGGTCACTGTTCTTTGTAGTTGGCTTCACTACCGAGGATTTCCAGTCACTCGGTAGTGCACCGTCGGACAGCGATCTGTTGAGATCAGTCAAGGAATCAGCGAGTGGATCCCGTCGAACTCGGTACAGGCACACGGCCGGTTACAAATACAGAAGCGAATCGCGCCACCAGTGCGAACGTACACCAAGTACTTGAAGTTAAGGCTATCCGTCAGAGCCCAAAACGCTGCTACGTGGCCTGCAGGTCTCAGGCGCCGCTTCAGGTAAGGAAAGAGTTACTCAGATGGTCGTATTCTTTCTTCTAACTTCCGAGGCTTCTGTGCATTAGCTCTATTGCAAAAAATTCTGATGTCTCGTAGACCTCCTAATCACCAGCAGAGCCAGACGGAAGGCTTTTATTTCATAGTACGCGTCGTCGTCAAGACAACCTACCGTACTCTTTGTCGAACCATTGTGGCTTCACTGGCCCCGCTTTCTGATACTTGAAGAGTACGGATTGTGCGCAGAACGATTTCACGCCCTCTTTTATAATAGTCCAGCGGGTCTCAACAAGAGAATCCAGTGTAACGACTAGTCCATTTGTATAGCCTCTGAAGTATCGAAATCAGTTTTCCAGTAGTTGTAGGGTGGCTCCTGTGGACGCAACTATGTCAGAGGCTGCTCTAGGCTAACTATGACGCCTGAATAGTCACCCGTTGCCAGTGGTTTCACAACCTTAACATCATGCACAACTTGTTCGCAGCTAATCAACATCAGGTCATAGCACGACGGGGTTGAATTTGGTGTAATGCGGTTCGACTGGTAGATGTACTATGTTGCCTTAGTCTCAAATGTCATTCCAGCAAACTGCGCCTCTGCTTCACATTGTCCCGAGATAAGTTGAACCTCAAGCCAGAGTATTCGAGGTGCGTGACGATGATTAATTGGTTGAATTATTCGTAATAAGTTAACATCATCCGTCAGCAGGAAGCGGTGACGACTCATGTGTTTTCAGACATGCTGCAGCCAGTCCAAACAGCGACTTGGTATGCTGCGATAATCTACTCCCACGAACAATTCGCCACCTTTCAGGTAGATCTTGCACCACAGTTGCCCTCGTAGGCCATTTTCGTTTCATTAGGTCTTTGCTAGTCTGCTGCACAAGTAAGACCGATTGTATAGCATCATTCCATCGTGGTCATTTGACATTTTCTCGCACCAGAAGCACGAGTAGCCACTGAGCTGGCCTTATGTCTCAACCAGGTCTCAGCTACAGAGTGGCGCACGAAATGTCATATCATTTGTTTTGTTCATTACACAGGTAATATTATAGATGTAATGTTGAAAACCCGTGTTCATATACCGTGGTTTATAGGAAATCCGGTGGATGTCACGAGAATTTTGTATGGAATCTTTTCTTGGCGCCGAACACAATTTTCATGGTGACCTATAAGAGCAGATTGAATGTTGAACAGTAGGTGAAAGTTGTTATGTTTTTGCCGAAACGAAGAGTTTTGTAGCGACACAGATGTTTTCATGCACACTTTCGTACTAAGTGGGCTCTAGGCAAACAGACGATTCCGAAATTGTGTTGTCAATTTTAAACAACTGGCTCTGTGGTGGCGAAGAATCGACGGCGCAGACCAAGTGTCCGCACCCCTGAAAACATGGTAGCAGTTCACTTTGCTTTGTCACTAAGTCCTGGCAAATCAACAAGGAGGACGGCTGCTGAGCCAGGGATATCCCGTCGATCCATACAAAGCATTCTGCATTCTGATCTTCAAATGTTCCATTACAATATAACATTTGTCCATAAATTAGAGGCAGAGAAAAAAGCAATGAAGACATCAGTTCCCTTCATGGTTAGTACAGGAGGATCACGTTCTGAACAACACGTGGTTTACTGATCAGGCGTATTTTCATTCAAATGGTGTAGTAAATAAGTAAAATGTTCGTTTCTGTGCAAGTGTACATCCTCACATTCTGCACGAAATGGAAAATTATGGAGAGAAATTCTGTATGGGCCGCAATTTCATCCCATGGAATCATCGGACCCTTTCTCTTTGATGAGACGGTAAGCAAAGATCTATCTAAGGACATGTTAGCAAACAGATTTATTTCAGAACACAGCAACAGGTTTCTCATTACGAAAATGGTTCATGCAAGATGGAACCCGGCCACACACTGCAAATGTTGTTCTTGATTGCCTATATGACATGTTCGATTGGCGGGTAATGTCACATCGGTTTCCTGAGCGTCGCCAAGGTGGGAGACAGTGACCTCTGCATAGCCCTGACGTCAGTCCATGTGATTTCTTCTTGTGGGGCTATTTGAAAGATAATGTCTTCGAATGGAATCCTGCAAGTGCAGCTCAACTCACTGTTTTCATCATGCAGTTGTGCGTTTAATTTCTGAAGACTGCAGGTAGGTTGTGACAGTTGTCAAGGTTCGCTTGCAAGAGGTGAAACAAAATGGTGATCAA